CGAATTTACTGCTTATAAACTCCAACTTTCCATGAATCTCGTACATTCATAACTGCTCTGGCGTATCGAATGTAAACAAATGACGTCATATATTAAGAAATGGACAAGCTGAGGTGTAGATTTATATTTTGATAAGATTCAATAGTGTCACTTTTGAGAATTTGTCCATTTTATTCTAGTTGTGTGTTTTTAGTAAATTTAAGCATCTCTCTATAGGGACATTTGTGTATAAAAATTTTATATCTAAACTCACCATGTATTTGTTTTTGATGTCTATTTTTTTAATTTGTCTGAATTTTTTATGTGTGAGGAACTAATTGTGCCAAGGAGTGGGGGTTAAGATTTTTCTTAGTGTGCTGGCTAGTTTATATGGGGCACCACCTATCCCTGATGTGATAGGTCTCATTGGTTTTTCCAGCTTGTGTGTTTTTGGTAGTCCATATAGTGTGAGTGTTTTTGGGTGGTGTTCAATGAGTTTTAGCCAGGAGTTGTCTTCATTATTTTAGTAATTTTTTGATATAGCTTATAAATTTTTTGTGTCTCTTTTGTGACTTTGTTTTCGTTTATTATTTCATAGATGTCATCATTGATGAGGTCTCATTTTCTGTTGGTAGGTGCATTTGTCCATGATTATAATTCCCCCACTTTTAGTGAAAAGAGATATGTGGATGTTTTTGCTGTTTGCTGTTTCCTTCAGGGTTTTTATATATCTGTGGGTAAATGTGGTGTCGTTCATTATTTTAAGTGTATCTGTGACTGGGCCTTGGATGTATCCTTTGGGGAAGTCAAAATTGTCGCCGGGGTGGTTTTTAATCATGGCATCCATGATGTGGTTTTTTGGTAGTCTGGTGGCAAATTTTTTACAAAAGCTGAGGGCTTCTAGTTGTAAGTATAAAAAAAATATTTCTTGAATATTACTCGCTTGCTGTTGCCTTACCAGACTTTGAATTATGGCACTTTGTGTCCACATGTTTTGACTTACCTCTCAACAACCTGATGAATATTCATAAACGTTCTCAAATTTAAAAGCCTTGATAAACCAGTGACATTCTGGCTTTTGTATATAAACAAGTGCAACAAAATAAATCTTACATTTTCCTTGATAAAATACCTCAGAGCACGAGACACATTGGCTAAGAATAGTTTTTCCTCTTGACTTTTTATTCACTTTTTCCTTTTACAGATAGACTCTATCTGAAAATAATGTACACACACACATATATACATATATAAAAGCAGGCAGCAAAAATTTACTAAATTTGACTTCTAAGGTTTGATTTTTTAGTAAATTTCTCTAATTGCCATATGAGTTGCAAAGCTGAATCAAGTTTTTTGCAGACTAATTTCTTCATAAACTTGATCCAGCTTTATGGCAACTCATACACTGACTTAAAACATTCACTAAAAATTCAACAGACTTTATCAGTTGCATTTAATAAAACATATATATATATATATGTATGTATATATATGTATATATATATATATATATATATATATATATATATATATATATATATATATATATATATATGTATATATATATATATCTATATATGTATATATATATATATATAACATCAAGGCCATCAGACTATAGAGATGATGGTGTCATTCTCCTTCATAAAATTAACTGATAGACTGATTGAAAAAGGAATTGATAAAAAATTTTTAAAGATCATAAACTAAATATTACCACCAATGCTAAAGTGATCAACTTTCTTGATGTAACCTTAGACCTGAATAATGGTTATTATGAACCATACACAAAGGATCTATATAAACATAGATACATTAGTAAAGAATCAAGTCACCACCATAAAATTCTAGATAATTTACATAAATCAGTCCAAGTTAGATTATCCACCAACTCCAGGAATAATGAAATATTTGATAAGTCTAAAATTTAATATATACTGACTTTAGAACTAAGTCATCATAAAGTAAATTTAGAGATAAGGTAAAAATAAGCAGAAATGCTGTAAACAAATACATTATATGGTTTAGTCCACCCTCTCACCATAATGTCATAACTAATATAGGAAGAATTTTTCTAAATTTGATTCATAAACACTTTAACTATTCACCAACACTAAAAAGGATTTTTAACAAAAAACAATGTTAAGATCAGCTATAGCTGCATTAATAACAGACACATCCATCTCTCATCCTAACAACATTATATTAAACAAACATATTTCCAACAAAGACAATGTAAATTCTTCTAAAAGTAAATTCAACTGCCAAAAAAATATGATCTGTCCCGTAGATGGTCAACGTATATCTGACAATGTGACCGATAATATTATATACTGAGTGAACATACATTCTGGTAATGATGTTAAATTTTATTTTGGCTTCATGGAAAATCCTTAGAAATTTCATTTTTACCATCATCAAATGACCTTAAGTAATTTAAAATACAAAAACAAAACACTGCTCTCTCCAAATATTTCTGGTAGTTAAAGAATGAGGGCATCTCATCATCACTCAACTGGGAAATTATATCTAGATCTAAGACTTATAATTGTAAAGGAAATAAAATCAATTTATGTTTAGTTGAAAAACTAGCTATCTTAAAACACTTAAATAACCCTAGCTTAATAAACAAGAGAAATGAATTGATTGTTACGTGTAGGCATAAAAATAGATAACTGATTAAATACATTGATCCAGATTGATTTTTAAATCTTTAATGTAAATTACTGTTTATTTTTAATGTAAATTACTATTTATTTATTTTGAATATAAGTTTATGTTTTTTGTTTAAATAAGAACAAGTAATCTCCCTCTAATTAAAATTTTCTTAAAAATTAAAAAAAAATTTAAATATGAATAATCACCACTCAAAAATATAATTTTTTAATTCTTTTTTTTTACACATATATATAAATCACATTTATTTTAATTGCCAAATATAATTTTAAAATTTTGAAATTAAGAAACTATAATTCCAGCATAATATATAATTGTATAATGGTCAGGTCATATTCAGCACTTGAAGATTGTGTTGTGCATGAAACTCAGAGTTGTGCTAGTGGTGAGGGATAATATGTATATTTATTAATATATACTTAATAGCTCTGTTATATTACATTGAGCACTGTTTTATTGACGCCAATACTATATGTGTGATATATTATAATTATATATATGTGTGTGTGTACCCACACATGCTTGGCTTGGGTTCATGAACAAAGATCTAAAAAGGAAATTGTTCATTACTGCAGGCTTAGAGGTGGATAGCCAGTCCAATTTGGGACAAGCAGATCTGTCCACAATGACTGCAATGAAAGGTGTGGCCCAGTGTTGATGTTGTGATGACCGTTGACTTAGTTTTTCCGACTCTTGTTCATCAGGTCAGCCTTGTGTTCATTCCTAGAAAATAGACAGCTCCTTGACTGACACTGAGTCACCGGGTCATCTGGATTTCAGATATATATATATATATATATATATACAACAAATACATATTTTTTGTTCATATTTGGCAAGACCCAGAATTTTTTACATTTTACCAATGGAATGTAAATTTGAGTCTAGCAGACACCTTATTTTTGTTTTTTAAATTTACATTGCTTATTGACAACTATGACACAATATGATAGCAATAAAAAGCAATTGAAATTAACAAGATGAAAAAATTTGATTAAAAAATTACTTTTGTTAACTTATTCAAATCTAAAAATCAGCATCTTTTGTAGATAATGGACTTTTCTCCATGTTTTATCCTGAGAAACTTTTTTTGTACAAGTTGCAAATAAACAATTGTTGGAAATTAAAAAATTGAATTTAGACTGAACTTAATGAACTAATTAAAGACTAAATTGAATAATTTAAGTTGAATTAAGACAATTTAATAAATTTAGATAACTGAATAGTTGCAGAACTGAAATGAATTTAATCAGTTATTTCAAAATGACTTGAATGATGGCATACTTAATAATTTCAGATTGAATTTAACAAACTGATTTCAAGCTGAACAGAATGATTTGAAATTTAATGAACTGATTCCAAACTTGAATTAAATCATTTGAAACTGAATTAAATGGTTTAGAAATTGAATTGAATGGTTTCAATTTGAATCTAGAATATATTTCAAACTAAATTGAATTATTTACAACTGAATTTAATGAATTAATTGCAAACAGAAATGGATTTTTTGAAACTTAATGAATTCATTTAAAAGTAAATTGTGTGATTTAAGATTGAATTTAATGTATTTATTTCAAATTAGATTGAGTGATTTGAAACATAATGGATTGATTTCAAGCTGAATTGAGTGATTTAATACTGAATTTGATGACTGAATTAGTTCATACTGAATTGAATGATTGAATAGTGAATAGAATGAAATGAATTCAGACTGAATTGGCGAATTGATGTTATATTGGTTTGAATGATTTAATACTGAATTTGATGACTGAATTAGTTCAAACTGAATTGAATGACTGAATAGTGAATAGAATGAAATGAATACAGGTAACCAAAAGATTTCAGTTTACTGAATTGAATGACTGAATTGTGAATAGAATGAAATGAATTCAGACTGAATTGGTGAATTGATGTTATATTGGTTTGAATGATTTAATACTGAATTTAATGAATTAATTACAGATTGAATTGAATCATTCCTAAAATTAATAGAATGATTTGAGAATAGATTTAATATGATTCTGACTGAATAGAATAATTCTCAAATTGAACTTAATTATTTGAAATTGACTTTAATGACATGATTTCAAACTGGAATGATTATAGATTAAATTTAATAAATTATTTGCAAACTATTGAATAGTTTGAGAATAAAATCATTTGATTTCAAATTGTTTTGAATGATTTAAGACTGAATTTAATGATTCCTAAAATAAATAGGATTTAATGTATTTCTAGATGAAATGAATAGAACAAAAGCTAATTATTGTTAAATGATTTTTTCTTCTTTATCTTATTCAGTGAATATTCATTTTTTTCAGATGGAGACCTTTGCTTTAAAAGAAATGGCTATATTGGGATGTGGGTATAATGGTTTCTTTCAATTATCACCAAATTCTGCCAAATTTTCTGAATGGAAAGTGAAAGAGTTTAAATCTATACAACTTGATTTAAAGCCCCAAGAAAAGATTCTGCAATGTGCTCTCTCTTGGTCTCAAATTGCTTTTTCTACAGGTAACCAAAAGATTTCAGTTTACTGGATGAAATGTTCTGTTCAGTGCCTTCTAAAGAATTTAATAATAAAGATCTTTTTAATAAGCCCTAAAATGTTTGAAAAGTTAACTCTTCCAGTCCAGCACTTGCAAGTATAGCTCAGTTGCAAAGCAATGGTTTGTAAACAACAATTTTAGAGGTTCAGTTCTCAGTGCTGAGTCTATTGTAGCATGTTACCATAAGCAATAACAGTACTACTTAAGTCAGTGGTTCCCAAACAGTGTGGTGCACCTCATAAGGGCAGCGGAATGATTGAAAAACAATCAAATATTTAGAAACAGTTTCAAAAAATTCATATACCAAAAATAAATATTATTTCAAAATATTATTATAGATTACTTGTAATTGTATGTGTAAGTCCCAGTATAAATGGTTATAAATAATTATTGACCGATTTTATCATTGTGATATTTTTGCATTATATCAAGTATTAAGAAAATAGTAACTAGGATCTGCAAATTGGAGGAGAGAGTTATCAATGGCCATGTTCTGAATTCCAATCCGTGGTTATCTCCCTTTAATCCTCTCTGTTTTTTTTTATTTTTATATGTACTTTTTATCACATAAATTTTGGTGAGGTGCAAGTAAATTTTCATTCCAAAAATGCAGCCCAGAGAAAAAAAATTTGGAAACCACTGACAAGTAGACAAATCTACTCATAAAAAAATAGAAAAAATTTTTTTAAAATAACTTTTTGCAGATTAACATTTATTAGAACTCCCACAAGATGAGACATTTGTCAGAAAAATATAGATTTTATCATTTTAGAATGGGAGTCCTGCTCATAATATTGATGCAGTGTATTGATTCCTGATATTCTATAAAAAAACAAACACTTTTTGCTTTTTTACAAAAGGGTTTCTTTTAAATAAAGAAGAAATGGATATATACATTTTTAATTAAAGAACAAGAAATTGCATAAATTAATAAATGTATATCATTTTTTCTTCATTTAAGATAAATAATTATTGCCTCCCAATGTTTGTGTATGAGTTGCCAAAAAATCCTCTTCCAAAAAGTTAAAGAGAAAGTTTTAGAATTTCAGAAAATTAAACAGGAAAGTATATGCAGATATTCAAACTTGACATCAGTAAATAACAACTCAGTCTAGATTAACTGTAAAAAGTCAGAAAACAATTTTATACTGTATTTATATTATGAATAGGACCTCCACTCTTCTAAGTCAATAAAAAAAATAATATTTTTTTATTCTGACTAATCTTGTGGATTGAGGGAGTTCAAATGAATGCTAAGTTGCAAAAATTATCCCCTGATAGCTTTTCCCTATTTTTACAAGTGGACAAGTCTGTATAAGTAGTGCTGCAATAGCAAAGGCTGCTCTTCACTATGAATCAATTTCATAATTATGAAAAACTTACTGTTTACAAGAAACATATATCATATCTTTTAATAATAAACTTATTTCATAAGTTATGTCTTTTGTCTTTGTAGCTGAAAAATATATAAAAAATTTTGAATTAAAAGGTTTCAGTTTGAATTTCTGGGATGAATTATTCAGTATATAATAATTAAAAATGTTCAAAGAAGCAACTGATGCTATTTTCACACCATTCCAGAATCCCAAAATTTTATTTTAGCAGAAGAATTTTTACTGCAAATATCCTTTTGCCAAAAATCTGGAAATTTTAGCAATTGAACTTGATGGCATATAAGACACCTTTCCATTTCAGCCAGGAATATTAAAAAAAAATTGTATATCAAATGTTAGTCCATGCTCCCTATTTGGCCTATTTCAAGACAAGTTTCTTTTTGTATATGAATTTATTACAATATATGAAATTCTATTTGGGGAAAAAGTGAGTCTTACATGTCATCAAATTGACTAAGTTTAAAAGGTTGAAATTACCTTTCAGTAAATGTCAGTCAGTCATCCAACCCAACCACATTCAAAAAGCAATTTAACATAAGCAGTTACTGTTCATTTACTCTTTTGCATGCCTTCAAGGAACTGACTTATCATCCAAGCATCTTTATTTGCTCAAGTCAGTTTTAGTTAAACTTAACTTCCTTCAAAAGCAGCTCAATGAAATCTCTGCAGAGTCAAGCCTGACACAGAGGAGAATATGACCAAGAATTTTGTTTATTTGATCCCTTGTAATTGTGGTAAAGAATACAAAGTAAAACTGAAGGAATGTCAAAAAGTTATAATTAGGAGTAAATCAATGAAATCAAGTATAGTTGATCATGTGTGGAAGGAAAGGGTGGTCACCAACTATGTGGAATTAAGTAAAAATACAAGACCAAGAAGAAAACTGGAATATCAGATGTCAAAATGAATCAGTATATTCTCTAGACTATAATGGCCTACTCAGTAGGCCTTGCATAGAAATAAACACCATATGGTAGCCATTAATAAGTAAAGGAAGAGAAACAATAGAGGGAGCCAAGTTTAACAGTAAGGTTTCATCAGTAAGAAAAGTGGATGACTGGTGAAGGAGGTCAAGCATAGATGCAGCAAGCAGGCAATAAGATATTAAATTTGTCTTCAAATTATCGGTTCAGGATTGTCCTATGAGACAAATAGCCTAAAGGATTAAAGCATTCATTTGTGAACTTGATGGCATAGTAATTGTGAGTTCAATCCCTGAGTCAGGTAGTATTGACAGTGGAAAACAGGGCGAGCAATAACTGAATAGTATTAAACGAAGAAAGACAAGATATCTTTAGACATGGACAGTGAAATTTGAAAAATCTATCCCTGTAAAGGATTCACTATGAAATTATCTGAATGTTATCCAGATCAACAGACACCTAAAGATAATAACAACAAAGTGATAAGAACTACAAAGATGAGGACATTAATCCGAAGGTTTGGAATGTATATAATAACTTCTCATCTTAGAAATTCAGACAGAAATTACGAACTTACCTATTTATCTTTGTGATATTAACTTAAAAGTGGTAGTTTGGCTGCTTTCATGTTTTTAACCAATGTTCTTAATATTCTACATCATTTCTGTTTACATTTGCAACACAGTTTCTTTAAATATTTTTTTGCTGATCAATTTATTTTTCTTACTTATTAGCCTTTTAATTTTTAAAGGGCCTATAATTTTATTGCCTACAATATTAGCCGCTGATGTCTTCTGAGTCATGTTTGTTGTCTAGTCATTAGGTCTATCCAATGTAGCTCTACATTCATCATTGAAAATTACTGTTTATAAATCAGTTTTCATGTACTTCATTCAACTTATATGTATTTATCATTTTTTCTTCTTCACCCAATACAAGGCCCAAGAGCCACTCCAGATAGGTCACTATAAAATGAGGTTGTTGAATAAGAGGAAGAAGTGAGTGCATATGATGAGAGTATGTAGGATAGATAATTGTAACACTTCTTGCCAGTTAGTCCCTGGTCAATGTTACTGCTGGCCATTGGAGTTGGTCATTCTGATCTATGCCCCACTTCACCACGTTATTTTGATTAATCACAGAGCTAACAAAGACAGATGTCATCGGCAATTGTAGTGCTGGTTTGATCCCGGCAAAACTATGTCACAAAGGAAAAATAAAAATGTTCTAGCAGACAAAATAAAGAAAGAACAGAAATTTCTTCAGGGTCTATTTTTATGCAGTTTATATCATTCTTTGTACAGAAATATTAACCCTTCCCGCTTTGAATTCTATTGTGACACTTTGCTCAATTTAGCTTAAGTCAGAGGTTCTCTCTGGCAGCAAGATATGTGGGATTTGGCAGCGTAGTCATGGGGGATGATGTGGTTAGGAGACCTGATGTTTCCCCTATCTTCCAGCAAGAGCCCTTTGTTGTCTCGCTCTGGAAATTAATTATATCTCCAAATTTGGGGAGATCCCTTTTCTTATGGGCAGCAATCACAGGTACTGATCTGCCTTGATAACTCCTTCTTTCTCTTATTTGTGCCTTGTACCAACACCTCCTAATGGGCATGGGCAATTCCTCCATCCTTCTTGGTATTCCACCTATGCCTGTCACCTCAGTTATCCTTTTGACAAATCTGGTTCTCAAATCACATTGTGCGGCTTAATTTCTAGTCATTAATTAGAATTATCATTTTAATTTCTTGTCAGCAAATTTTTCCCAGTCTGGTCTTGTTTATACAATCAGAAATTTACCACCTGTTTCCTCCAGTCAGCTTATCTCCCCATCTTGTTAGGGTAATCACATTTTAGGAACCCAGGGTTGGGTCCTTACATAAAGAAATTTTCTTTTCTTGACTTGTTTACAATTTACACTTTTTGATAGGCAAAATGAATCATTTTTTTTTAACTCTGCTTTGTCTGTAAAAATTTCCAAATATTATTTCTTCAATCAGCTTCCTGGCTGATTCCTAGAAGCTGCTTTCTTAACTTCCACTTTAAGGTAGTACTATCAATCACTTGGTAGCCCAGCTTTACCAGATGGCCTCTGTGGTAATAGCTTTTCCCCAAAACAGAAAAGTCACTTTCCTCAAGCTGTCTCTGCTTAAAAAAATAGACTTATAAAATTAAAAGAAATCTTGACTCTTTCTCTCAATCTGTCTATCATTCCATTCTTAAACTCTTTTTGTCTTGTTCCAAGTTATATTTTAGTTCTAACCCCTTTCTTTCCATTTTCCAGTGTCACATAATGCTTAACTTTAAACTTCAAGAGGTTAAGATTATAATGATTGGGAAAGAATCCTCTCAAGAGTCTGTTCCACAAAGTAATGGTTCTCATATTCAGTGTTTAATAATGATGGTAGTTTGGTTGCTTTCATAACTTTAGCCAATATTCTTAATATTCTGTATCTTTTCTTTCTGTTTACATTTTCAACACCAGCTTCTTCAAATATTTTCTTGCTGATCAATTTATTTTTTACACTTATTAGTCTTTTAATTTTCTGAAAATCTCTTTTGTGACATTCTTAAAAATATTTTTTCTTGTTCCTCAATTTTTTTAATTATTCTTTGATCGATGTTCAACTTTTTGTTGCTATTACTAAATAACTTTACAATATCTTGTTTTCATTTTGAGATCATTTTATAATCCATAGAAAATTTTATATATCTGAAATTAAAAAGTAAATAGTGATAACTATACTGTTATGTGTATTTACTTACAATATGATGAACAACACTTGAGTTACATAATAAAATCTCACGCCACCTAATAAATTATTCTAAGTAATTTCTTTTAAATGTATATAAGCTGAAATAACTATGGTATATTTTTCCTATAAATGTAAACATATCCTGAAAATTTAACCGACATTGGTTGGTTTGTCACCAATTTTATTGTCGAAATATTGACTTACATAATAAAACCTGACATAGTGCAAAAACCACATCTAGATATAATTACATGCTATTATTATGGACATAACAAGAAAGTAACAGGATTGATTTTGATCTGACTTGACCACATCTGGTGTTTCACATTTTTAAATTGTCACTCAACATCAAACACACCCAAAGGCATCACTATAAAAACATTTACAAATCAAATCATTTTTCTTTGTAGGCTTCTGTAACAAAATTACTGTATTCATATGTGTGAAGGTGTATAAAAGTTTCACTGTTTATTAATAACTAAGTAAAAAATTTAATCTTCCCCATGCAAGCCAATTGAATTTAAATTATGCCATTGTAGAGGGCATGATAGTTATGATTTTTTTCATCAGCCCTGATGTAGCAACACCTCTAACTATAGAAACATAAATAAACACAAACATGGATTTATAGAACAAACAATAACAACTATTTATTAGGTAGAACACTGGCACTGTGGAAAAGAAAAAGATGAGTGTTTGTTTCTTGTGGGAACAGTAAGTACTGATCATAAATCATGCATGCAAGCTTTTTGGGAGCATATTTGGTTTTAGTATGCAAAGCTTGTACTCATAAATAAATCCAATTATCAATCAGCGGAGCATTAGTTTTCATGTCAAATTCTTTTTCCAGGAGTAGTGACTGGAATTTTACAATGCCGATGTGGATGCTTCTCCTCTTTCACTTTACTGCTAGCTGTTTAAATGTAGATTCTCCTTTGCTCATATTCATTGAGATAGGATCAACTTGAACACAATTTTTGATTCTCTATCTTTCGTTTGATTGGCTAACATTGAATCCATTTGCTGGTTTTGTTATTTTACTGAAACTACATCCACATGTTGTTTACAGCATCTAAATGTCTAAGTTAAGTAATGCTTTAAATCCTGGTTACATTCATCTGTGCATGGGAAAATATCTTTTAGGTGTTGGAGATGCAACACCATGACCTTTTATCATGCTGATTTTTATTGGTATTTCTTGAGGCAATGAGTTCCAAGTAACATTAAAAAATTGTCCTAGGTTATCCATTTAGAACTGGAAGTGCCCAAATGTACCTGCATGCTTCACATATTTACAGTCAGGGAGCACCTGAGTGCACTCACAATTGGATAGCACTGTATTTTAATACATTTTGTTAAGACCCATCACATGATCAACTAGTGATGCCAGAAATCTACATCTTTTCGGAAATCTATAATTTTGCAAAAGTTATAGATTTCTAAAACCATATAACCATTAAAACCAAGGAGGCTAAATTTAGTATCATTTGAAAGAGAAATCAATTTTTCCCATTATGTCCGCTAATACAAAACATTATAAAAGTATTGACAAAAATACACGTTATGAAGCTGTGGATGTAACTCATATTCCTTCTGGAACAATAAAGCAAACACATTGCATAGAAAAATATCTCTCATTCATTGTGTAAGCCAAAAAATATCCCTTATGAAAGGATAATATGGCAAACAGAAGACACATCAATTACAAATTTATCTTTAGATAAATGTTTAAGCAGTCTCAAGCCTGGTCAATGATGGAGGACCATTTTAGAACACAAGATACTGTAAGCAAACTTCTATAATCCAAAATATGTTTTGGCTTTACATATATATATATATATATATATAATGGTAATGTTTCTCTCTATGGGAATTCCATCTGGACTAATCTGCCTAAATAAACAACAATCTCTTTTCTTTTTCCCATTGATCAGAGGTCATTATGAGAAGATACTCTGAAGCATTATCATTCCATTCAATATTTTATGTTGTAAAAGATATTTTTTCAGCCATTATAAAATAAAATGGATCAAGAGGAAAAAATGATCCATTTTGATTATAGAAGTGACATTTCTGATTGTTCTCAAATATTTCATCACTTATTTTCTTAGCTACACTATATAATTTGTTTTCTTTTGTAAACTTGAAATTAAGTAGACAGCTATGTAGATATATCAATGTATGCAGAGTTTTATTCTGTATTTTCAAAGTTTCTCTTATTAATATAAATCAATTTTTACTCTTAAAGAAATTACTATTTAATCAGCTGATATATTTTCATGAAGGGTGTAGTTTTATACAACTTCAAAAATGGCTATGTAAATGTTGAAAGAAAACTGAATCAAGTTTAAAAATAAATTCACTGCAACTGTTTTTTAATTTTGTTTTTTTTTTTACACATATTCCATATTGTAAGCCTGTGTAGTTTACAACTGATTTGAAAAGAAAAGATCATTTTCTTTGATTATTATTCAATTTACTATAATTTGTTTTAGGAAAATATTTGACAAAGACACAAAAGATCATTAATGATCTCTATCTATAAAAGGCAGGATGTGTGTGTGTGTGTGTGTGTGTATCGAATGCATGGCCGCAATTTTTGACGGATTTGCACCAAAATTTACATGCACATGTTCCAAGTTAGCGGGAAGGCCAAGACTGACTTTGCATTTCCCAACTCCCATCGATAGTGAAAATAATTGATTTTTTCATGCTTCTATGGCAGTTTTCATGTAGTTTGCGGCCATTTTGTACTGGCCAGAGTGAGAGCCAATAGCTGGCTGCCACAAATAGGCAGGAAGATTCTATTGGCCAGCGTGAGAGCCAACAGCTGACTGACACGAATGTTAACTAGCATGCTAGCATGCAAAAAAAATCGATAGCTGCATTTGTTACAAGTGGGAAAAATTTAAATCTGCATGGCACTTTACTCCAATTGGCTCATTCGCTTGCTTAAACTCAACGTCGATTCTGATTCCGCAGAACTGGGTTGGGTGTGAAAAAGTATTTGTTGTTAACATTATTTTTTCATTCGGTTTTTCCAGTTACAAGTCCTTTTTTAAAGGTGATCATTTTGTGTTCATTTTGTTTAGTTCTTTTTTCATAACAGATTTAATGTTTAGTATAGAGCTTAGAAAAAATTTGCAGTGTGAGATAGGCAAGAAGTAAGGCATGTAGCAACATCAGCACGGCAAAGGGCACTCCTTTAAAGGGAAGGAAGGGCAAAAATATTTTAAGTCAAGTGATAGCGATTACTGTATGAGTCGTACGATTTTTGAATCAAGCACGGGCAACGCCGCTGCTAGTTTCATCATAAATTCCTTCAATATTTGAAATATGTAGAAATGCTTTATTATCAAAATCTTAATGTTTAGGTTTGGTCACAGGTATACATTGAAATGAAATTGGAAACAATTCTTCAATTGGTAATATTAACTGTTTTCTTATGTAATGTGCTATAATAGTAGATTTCACTTAAGCAGAACATTTGTGACAAGGAATAGCTGCTTAATAGGACCATTTGTACAAGAGCAGAATTAACCCTTTAGCATTTAACACATACTGTAAATATCAGTTCTCAAAGAGTCATTGGTTGTGGTCAAAGTCTCACTGTTTGTGTGACTTCTTATATTATTATAAGATTATATTATTGTAGATTATGGCAGAGTATACATGGGGCAGGTTACAGTGGGTTGGACGTTGAGAGCCGATATCTACAGCATATGTTTGGGTGGATTGAATGCCAAAGAGTTAAACATGTAATATTTTGTCCCGTTTTTATGTAAATCCATTTAAAAGGAATGGTAACTTGTAGGAACCAACATTTGTGGTCCTGATAGTTTCTGCTGTATATAATTTCCAAAGTTTAATAAATAGTTATAATTGTTCTTTATATGATTTAATTTGAATAAAATTAAATCAAAACTCATTTGCTTTATAAACCTGTTATTGCCTTTTTTATATATTATATAACGGTATTTTTCAAAGTGACTGTTGGTTTGAAAATATTGCTTTTTTCTTTCTTTTTGTTTTCAGATCAAAACAGAGTAATTATTTGTGGTTTCAACAATAGTCAGTTGACTATGGCTGAGTGTCAAGTATCTGCATTGTCATTAGCCATTGACTCATTCCAGTTACTAATAGCCACAAAAGAACAGGATATACACCAATGGAAAAAAAATGTTTGTCAACAAGTAATTTGGAAAGATGTGACAGAAAAATGTAAAATTACACAAATTCAAGCTGGTGAAATGAACTGTGTTGGCATAAAAGGTAGAGAATTAACTTTATTATTACTTAAAGCTATATGAGAAATGCAAAATTTCTTTATTGTTATTAATTTCAGATTAAAAAATATATTTTTTATATTTCTAAACTTTGAATAAATTACAAAGATAGAAACTATAAATTTGATTATCATTATCAACATAACAAATTCTGAGAAATTTATTTAATTTGATTATAATAGAAAGCCGTGCTTGAAAAATGGGATGAAACAATTTAGTCTGAAAACAATTTATTGAATTCAAGTTCAAATCATTCAATAAAACTTGAAATCAATAATTTCAGTATGAAATCAGTTTATTAAATTCAGACTCAAAACATTCCATTCAATCTAAAGTCAATTCATTAAATTCAGTGTAAGATCATTCAATTCATTCTGAAGTCAATTAGTTAAAATCAAGCCCAAAGCATTCAGCTGTCCAAAAAGAATTCAATTCAGCATCAATTCATTAAATTTAATTTCAAATTGAACGATTTGAGATTAAATTTAATGAATTGATGCTGAACTGAATTCTTTTTGGACCAAACTGAATGATTTCAGCTTGATCTCAAATCATTCAATTTGAAATTCATTTATGCAATTCAGTCTGAAATCATTCAATTCAGCTTGAAATCAATCTGTTCAAATATTTTAAAATCAGTTCATCAAATCATGCAATTCACTCTGAAATTGATTCATTAAGGCTGAAATCGTTCAATTTTGGACAGACTTACTTAATGACAGCCTAATATGTTTGTGAGTTTGTAGACAAAGGTTTAGTCAGTGGCTGCTGGTTAATCCCTTCTATTGTGTGCGTAGACAAGGCCATAGTCGGCAACTGCTGGTTTTCGTTTCTTCCATTGCATGTGTGTATGTATGTGTGTGTGCGTGTGTGTGTACACACACATAGATCAAACTGGCCTCAATAATTGTTTTGAGTCCTGAGAAGCAATATGCTTCTATTTTCATATCCGTAAGGGAGATCCAAAATCTAATTTCACATAGAGGTGTGAACTTTTGGAATACAAAGTTTTCATTAGTTAGAAAATTAATTTCACACCAGCTTGCAAAAATCTTTTTCTTGAATTTACAGGATTGGTGAAAGTAGTTATTGTTATTTTCTAAATGGTCAAAAAATAACATGTGGTAGGTGTACAAATACATCAGCAAGTATTTTGGCCATATTTGTTGTTTTTGATTTGTTTATGGGTTGAAAAATATATATAGGATTTATTTCCTATTAGATCCTTGTTTATAAACACATATTTACATATTTGTATCTGAAAGGAATATTTGTTTGAATGAAAATACATTGTTTGCCCCTTTTGATTCCATTCTATTATAAATTATTTCATTGCATTCAGCTTACTTAATAAATAATTTTGCTGATTTGAATAGTACACTGTAGTATATCAATTATTTTTATCTTGTTTTAAATTTCCATTTTTAATTAGTACATAGCAGTAAGTACTTCTAACAGTAAAAGGGAAAGTACTTGCTTATTTTATTATAATTCTGATTGTCCTTCCCTTAGTTAGAACACACATTATGTCCTGCCAATATGTCACAAATAATGAACTATTCTGTTTTGATCATTTTGAAAGACAGAAAAAATATATCATATTTGGTTTCAATGAGAAAAAGAAAGAAGGGAAAATAGAAGTGTTTAACCTCTCCTGCCAATACCTCATAAATAATGAACTATTACATTTTAATTGTGTGGAACGATAGAATATCAGTGATGCTACTTGGTTTCAGTGAGAAAATGAAAAAGAAAGAAAGAAGGGAAGGTAGAAGTGTTTAATGAATGTTTCAGTGAAATGGAAAAAGTTGTCAATCTCAAATCTTTTTCATTTGTATCTCTTTACTTCTTTAAATACTGACCAGCATTCATATTTATGATTGTTATTACAATATTTTGTTAAAGTTGTTAAGCTCAAATATTTAACAATGTGATGGGGGAATTTCTACAGATATTTTATTGTTGTAGAACTCGTTCTGAGCTTATTCAATCATTAACTTTAGAATTAAAATTCATCAGAAATTCAAATAGGAAAACCATGAAATTTTCTAGTATGCAATAATGTTTCCTTTCAAAAATTTACCCAACCAACACAAATCTTTCATGATTCATATTGTTTTTCTTAATGAGTTAAATTGAAATGCATTTACTTCTTCTCACTTTTCATAACCCTTACCAATTATTTTCCTCACTAGCTTACTTTGTCTTTTTGAACAAGGATTGTATCTTTCCAAAACCTCAGTAAAATTACTGTTATTGTTTATTACTGAAATGTACATCACTTGGTAGCTACATTAATAATTGTTTCAATTTCCAGCCATCTCTAACCATACTCATATACATTATATAAATTAAATTTTAGATTAGAACTAATAGAATAAACTATCATTTTTTTCTTCAGAAGATGGATTTCCTGTTGAAATTAACCAATCACAAACAGATGAAGATGTATTTTTTGCATGTCGACCTTTTCCATGCAAAACAAAAATAAAAAGTGTTGCTTGTGGTGTTGAACATGTTCTGATGCTGTCTGAGTTTGGATCTGTTCTTTCCTATGGGATTGGGAGGTATGAATGCTTTATGCTTAAATATTTTACTTTGTATAAAAAGTGAAGTCAAATTGTTAGAGAATATTTTTAAAAATTTAATAATTTTAACGATTTGTATGGGATTCAAACCAGTAACAATTCTAAGTACAATTAGCCTTTAATTCCTTTTAATTATTTTACCCCAAGTAAAGCAATAAAGCTACTAAGATGCAAGAGGTTACTGAAAGTGAAAGAAACTGATAAAATGTTATTGAAGGGAGAGGAGAATAAAAGAATAGGATTCAAGGAGACAGAAGATGACAACTGACATTATATTTAAATTTTTGAAGATCATAATTGACAGGAAAGCAAGAAGATAGAAGAGAGTTCATTAGATAAATGTAAGCAGAAAAATGAACTCCTTTGTCAATTAAATTCTTATATAAAATGTATAAAAAATACAATTTATAACTGAAATGCTTATTTACAATCAGACTATTTTCCTCATTTTTCTTGTTATTATCACAATATTTTGGCTATTGTGTCCTCTGACCTTCTTCAGGTGTTTGTCGATTAAGATAACCTTAATGAAATATTGAACTGAACCCTTTTATTTAATCTATGGGGGTAGATTATCCATGGAATATCCCATCTTGTTCTTATTTAGTGCTGCTCAGTTATTGCTCACTTTTTTGCCACAGAATCTAAGTTTGCACTACCTGGTACTGAGATTGAACTCACAATTACTATGACATTAAATTCTCAAACTAATGCTTTAATCCACTAGGCTAATGCTCTATGGGACAATTCCAAATCTAGAATTTGGAGTCTTAAGCTCAATGTTCTTCTGTTCTGCCTACTGCTCATGTGCTGCTGCTGACATGCTTGACTGCATTCCCCACAGCTTTTCTTTTCTTATTGCTGCTGTTTTGCTGTCATTTCTCTTTCTTTTCATGATTTTTAATATTCCTACTAGTGATTGTGAGAAAGGTATATTCTGCAATTTCAGTGGGATGAATTACAATATGGTCTAAATTGGAACATTCTCAATTCCTCACTGTTTGCTACTGAAGCAAATGAATCAGTTCCAATTTAAATGCTGATGAAAATAATTCTTAAAACTTTTAAGATTGCTTTAATTACTAACAACAGAATTTTTTTTTCTTTTTAATTGCTCTTGTATTGCTCAAATGTCTTAACAGTTTTTGACAGCATTTATTAAAAGTGAGAAGAAGTGAATAAAATATCTATTGCTATTTTCATGAGAGATGTTCAGACAAACTACATTCTTTAGTTCCACCAGTCTAGACCTTCACAGTTAGTGCTTACCATGCTATGAACACTGAGTTGGCACATCCTCATTTGTTTGTAATCTATTAGTAATGAGGAGGTTCCTCTCAGACAGCTTCTTTCCATGAACTGTTGCAATGTGGAACAGACTCCCAAGAGGATGCTTCCCTGATTTAAAGTAATCAATATAAAGCACTTGGTGCCAATGGGAGTATCCTGGGTTGTTGATAAATGCTTGGGGGTTCAAGGGTGGTATGACCAATAAATAAAACATAATGATTTATGACTAGAACTCACCAATTTCCAACCAAATACCAATCTAAATGAATCTTATCAAGAAAGAACAATAAAGGAAAAAAGCAAAGAAATTTCTGCCTTTAAATAAAAAATAATAATTATTGATATGCTTGGGGGTTAAAGTTTGGGGATCTCTGCTTTAGAATATAGGCTGTCAGTATCTGGAATAGGATATTTGTCTATTTCTAAAACAGAGTTAATGGTCTGTTTATAATCACCACAAATTCAAACTAAGTCATTTTATTCCTCTCCAAATTTCTAGGATGAGGTGTTATCATAATTTACATTCAGACTATTATCCTCCTCTTTGTTGTTTTTATCACAATGTTTCAGCCATTATGCCTTTTGGACTTCATTAGGCATATACCAATCTGGGTAACCTACAGGAGATTCTGAAATTAACCTTTTATTTAATCTATTATTCCACTGCCCATGTCTAGGGATATATCATCTAGTTCTTATTCTTAGTACTGCTCAGTTATTGCTCACCAAGTTCAAGTACAGACTGCCCGGCCCAGGGATTGAACATACAATTACTATGTCACCAAATTCATGAATCCGCTGGGACAATTCTTTGTGGTAAACTTGAAGTCTTAAACCTAACCTGTTTGCTGATTAGTGCTACTGCTGGCTCCTCATAGCATAGCATATGTGCTGATTCTTTCAGGTGTCTAACTCTCCAGTGTTCTTCCTTGTACAGGTAGTAGCAGCAGCATTGGTAGGCCTAGCATAGAAATAAATACAATATGGAAACCAGAAACCATAAAGTCCAACTCAGTCTCTACTTAATCTTGGAAGTCTTATGGTACAGATTAAGCTGTCATAAAAATGTGGGTTACTGTTTGATTTGACATTTAGCATCACACTTGCATTTTTCAAGGTACCTAATTCAGGCTCAGAAAGTTGTGGAAATTTATACTGTAAGTCAGTTCACTTAATTTGGTGACATAAATTTGATGGAACAATTGACTACTTTTCAAACCAATCTCAGTCAAGTAGATTTGTTCCTGTTTCTGATCAAGCCTGGTAAAAGCAATACTTCCAAATCATATTAATTTTTTTTGTTTTTTTTACTAATGTTCATCTAATACAAGGCTCAAGAGCCACTCAAGGTAGAAAGTTACTGAATGTAATGTGTGATAAGAATATAAGAGTAGGAAATAAGATTATGAGGATATGGAGGATAAGTAACACTTGACTCTTGACTTGAAGAGGTTAAGATTGTAGCATTCATGGAAGCATCCACATGGAAGTCTGTTCTACAAAGCAGAGGTTCTTGAGAAAAAACTAAGTGGAGCTTCCACCTTACAATTGATATACTGAGTGAATGAGGGTGGTTTCATTCCTACAGATGCAGCATGGCAGATCTTAGTTATAAAAGTCTGAACTGGTGAACTAAAAAATGTAGCTTATCCAAGCATGGAAATAGTGACAGAGTAGGGACAGGCATATGACATCGCATGTCGAAAAGAGGCTGCAGGGTGGAAAATAAGTCACCCCCTCTACAAGGCCATATAAACAACTTAAATTTCATTAAGGCTGGAAAGTGGGGATTCAAGTACTAATCCATTACTGCATAAAGTTTCCTTAAAATTTTAGGTCTTTTTGCCTAATCTACCTTGCTGGCTAATGGTAATCTTAGGGTTGGCAGATTTTAAATTTTAGGGAACCTTTCTCTAAAAAATTGGACACCATGCACTAATGGGTTAAATAGTTTCAGTATCCTAGGTTAGTAGGAGTTAATTAAAAAAAGTAGGCATAAAATTTATTAAATACAGATGGTGACCCCAAACTTTAGCCATATAGTGTATAAAATTTCAGCATACCAAAATCTGTTTTGTATAGTGTCAGAACAATTGTATCTTGATTTTCTTCATCATGTCCCAGAAAAGCCAGCTGCTCTATATACAATAGAGCATCTGGCCTTTCTGCTGACATTTCTTACATTGTTTTGAAAAATATTTCTTCTTTTGACAGTTAAAACAAAATTTTCCACATACTGAACATTCCTCACATACCTTATGCCATTTACCAAAACACAATTTCCAGGGTTTCTGCATACTGTTGACAGTTTTGTGATTTGAAGAAGACATTTTATATACCTTGCCAGTATTCACAATTTTAGTACAATCAACATCAGGAAGTGGCTAAACCCATAGCCTCAGCCACAATATTTAATGACATGCCTTCAGACAATATTTTTTTGTATGCCCTCATTTGAAGCTACAAGCAAATTTTCCATTAGGTTTCTATTCAAAAATATTTCAAACTTTTAATCAGATGATTTAAATGTGCCCTAAAATTGCTGACAGACTCATTTGCCTCTTAAAGCCCTTGCTTTTACAGCTGAAATTTACAAGTTTCATAGTGTTAACACTATAAAACTGGGAACTTTCAGCTGCTGTGAAGTGTTTCAGTTGAAAATACTCCAAGAACAGTCTCCAAATAATCTTAAATGATTTCTCATTGGGTTTTGGTGATATACTCAAGAATATTGTATATTTTTCCACTGACAGCCTGTGAAGAAGAGGCTATACCAAGTACGTACAATCTCAGGAGTAAGATCTATTCATAATCATCAGAAAGTGAAGAAAAATACTATTCCAAGTATATATGATGTCTACAATGACTTATTCATAATCATCGGAAAATGATGCTATACAAAGTGCCATCGGATTAATGTCTTTGTCTTTGTTATGATCCCAACATTTCAACTCTTGTGCCATCTGGTCTTCTTTAGATGTCTGTTGATCTAGGTATCTTTCAGGAAATTTCAAACTGAACCCTTTATTCAATTTACAGGGCTGGGTTGTTCTCATTCTGTTCTCTATGTGTAGGGATAACTTGCCTTAGTTAAGTTTAGTTATTGCTAGTCCTGTTTACACTGAGTCAGATTATATCTGTACGACCTGTCCCAGAGATTGAACTCAATTATTATATCACCAAATTTACTAACCAATGCTTTAATCATGAAGGCCATTATATCGATCATCTTTACAATAATATTTATTAATAATCCTTAAAAATTTATTATCTTTACAATAAGATCTATTAATAATCCTTTAAAAGTGAAGATAGAAGCTAGGCCAAGTACCTCATATCTATTTATAATCATCAGTAAGTGAAGAAAGTACAGTACTTCCTTGATTATCCATACTTTGATTTTCTTGATGTCAAATGAAATGAAAAATTGTATTCATCTAAACAGTTTTCAATTATCTGAAGTAAACCCATTCTAATATTTCATTTGAGACAAGAATTTTGAGAATTTAGAAAGCCATACTTTAATGTAAATGTAGTAGAAATAAATGATGGTTTGATGCAGTCAGCCCTGGGTATGAACACCTAAGCAACCAGAACTTAAAACCATGCTGGAAAATATTGAAAAAGAGAAGAATGATAATGATATTACCTATGTTGAAGTTTATCCACCAGAATGCCAAATTTCAAACACTGAAGGAATAATTATATTTGACAACCAGAAGCTACCCTTACAATTAAATCAATTTTAACTCAGCTTTGAGAGTTAGTGACAGAAACATGCAAAAATTGACACATTTTTTCACAAAAAATAAACTGAACGAAACCTTGAAGAAAGTGTTTGAAAATGTTATTTGATGATATAATTGTTAAATTTATTTCAGAAAATGGCTTTTTACTTTCAATAATTTAAGTATTTTGAATTATCTGAACATATTTTTCCAGCCCTGTTCTCAAGATGTCCAGAAAATCAAAGTACAATAGCAAGATCAAGTACATATAATTCCTGCATAATGTTCCGGAAGTGTATAAAGAAAATATTAAATATCCCTACATTCTTTGTAATAGATTTAATTTATTGTAATCAGATAGAAGCTAAAGCATATTTTTATAATCATTTCACCTTCGATAAAACAGTAATGCCATTAAGACACATGGGGTTACTGAGGATGAAAGACAAGAGAGTAAAAGAAACTAAGAAAAATGTTACTGGGGAGAAGAACAGGATTCAAGGAAACAGAAGATCACAACTGACATTGCATTTAAACTTTTGTAGGTTGTAGTTGAAAAGAAAGCAAGAAGCTAGAAGAGAATTCCATAGGTGAGAAGTGTAAGAGAAGAAACTATTACACTATTTACATTATTCGGACTATTGTCCTCATCTTTGTTGCCATATTTATCACAACATTTCGGCCATTGTACGCTCAGGCCTTTTTCAGGTGGTTGAAATGTCGAACGGAACCCTTTATTTCACTCACTAGGTTCAGTTCGACATTCCAACCACCTGAAGAAGGCCGGAGCATACAATGGCCGAAACATAGTGATAAATATGGCAACTAAGATGAGAACAATAGTCCGAATAATGTAAATAGTGTACATAATATAGAAATATAGACAGATACTGAAGAAACTATTAGAATATAATTTATGGTTACATTGAGCAATTTCAACAAATGCCAAGACCTAGCTGCTAATCTAGTACTATGCTTAAATTCATGAAGTTGATGTACCAAATTTTTGTAATATCAAAACATCTTTGTGAAAAAAATGTTTTTTAATTGACATATTTTAACTTATCTAGTACTATCAAGAAAATAATAATTCAATGACTACATTTTCAAACAACTGAAGATTAACCTCAGATAGTTTCATATAAATTATTTTTATAGTTACTTCTTTACTTTAATAGTTAATTTTATGGTCTTATTTGATAAAATGTCATAATAAAAGGACTAGAATGTACTTATTCCTTTGTAATTCAATTCACTATTTATGAAATATGCTATTGTTCTTCGTTCAGCATCTAATAAAATTAATATCAACTTATTTGTAATCAAGGAAAAAATGTGTTATAACTTATAAATTCACTTTACAAATGTTTTAAAAACCCTTACAGCTGAAAAATATTCTTTGACACTTTTTCTTCATTAAAAACCTTATCAGCATTCTGTTTTTATACAAAATAGATTATTTCCCTGTTTAATCATTTTGCATTATTCAAGTCGTGGCCAGACAGGACTTGGCACAACAGAAAGAATACAGAATGCTCCCCAAGTAATTGATGCATTGGAAGGTGTGAAGATGATTGGAATTGCTGCAGGAAATTGGCATTCAGCAGCTATTTCAGGTGAGAAATCATGACAACAATTTCTTTGGAATTCTTATCTGATACCAAAAAAATAGCTGAAACTTTGAATTCAGAAATAGTTCCAAATTCATTTGTAATAACAGCATATCTGTTCTTTTAATTACTATGTCTCTTGTAATGACCCTCATTGTGTGTATTGTATTTGTGCATATATATATATATATATATATATATTCATACACGTTTCATTAAATAATATAGACAAGTGTTGTCTATTTATTTTATGTAAATTCTTTTCATAACATCTGATAAGTTTAATAATTGAACGAAGAAAGAAATTCACAATATTGATCCATATTTTTTAATACAATCTAAGCTTTCGGCTTACATAAGCCATTATCAAAGATGTCAATTACAACATATTAAGCAATATACGGACAAGACATTGATGATAGTCTGTCATTGTTTACATAGATGATTTCTAAGCAACGATAAACACGTGCATATAAGATGCAAGAAGCGAAAATCGCACCGCATCTCATGACGTCACACATGACCATGCAAGAGTGAATTGGAGAAGTATGAAGTATGGGAAGCCGTTGGTATAAACCAATGGCTTCTGTTACCAATTATAGATATTTAAGGATATTTGTAGAGATTCCATAGTTGATTTTGTTTAGGTTGGGTTTCAACTGTTTGATGTATAACCCAACCTAAACAAAATCAACTATGGAATCTCTACAAATATCCTTAAATGTCTATAATTGGTAACAGAAGTCTTTTATTGTTTTTGGATATAGTAATAACAAATTTTATGTTGAGTTTAGATAGATTCTTTTTGATTGTAGATATGATAGAGGTAGTTGGTAGGATAATATTTATTTTTGATTCATTGGGTTTTTCAGGCCGTTTTTTTGTTTACATCCATTTTACTCCATCACCTGTAATAATTGTCACAAAAGATACATAGGAGAGACTTGTTTATCACACCAGATGATGTGCTCTCTCCCAGAAACTGTAACTAAAGTCCACTCAGCATAGTTGCAGCATAAAAAATAGGTGATCTCTGTGAAAATTGGGTATGTGTCTGTAACAGAGATTGTCTAGCTTCCCTAGCAGATGGAAGTGCTCCAAAATCAGTAGCCAGCTTTCATATATATATATATATATATATATATATATATATATACACAAAATCCTGGTCACAATTATTAACACCTATGAAATTTCAGTACATGATGTAGAATATATACTGAAAATAAAACTAACCAAGGGAAACAGCTTTGGTCAATTGACAAAAACATTTTGACTCACCTGTGATAAATCAGAAATTAGATTCACCCTTTGTAAACTGTCAATGTCCACATGACAGGAATTAACCAATCAATGATGACTTCAATGTTTCACAACGTCACATATTATTAACTGTTCCTTTGTCACCATACCTGAGAGCATATGTGCTATTATTAGTAAGTACAAACCTCTAAAGGGTATAAGGTCATTTCCAAGGATCTCAGTAGCCCTGTTTCAACAGTAAGCAATGTTATTAAGGGGTTTGCTAAGCATTAAACTCTCAAGAACCTCCCTGGATATAGGAATAAGAAAAAAACTGATGAGAAAAGTCTTTGAATGTTGTTGTGAACTGTGGAAAAAACATCACTCCTCATACAGTGCATATTAAACTAAGCTGGGCTTTATGAGAAAATGCCAAGAAAAATCTCATTACTTATTAAAGACATAAAAAAAAATGACTGAACTTTGGCAAAGTTTACCTGGACAAACAACAATCCTTCTGGAAAAAATGTTCTGTGGACAGATGAAACAAAAATAGAGTTTGCACACCAACAATATGTTTACAAACAGCAAAATCAAGCTGATAAGGAAAAGAACATTCTACCAAAAGTTAAGCATGAAAGAAGTCCCATAATGTTGTAGGGTTACTTTGCTGCATTTGGTACTGGAGTCCTTGATCATATCACAGGTATCATGATATCTGAAGAATTTTAGAGCAAAAATTGCTACCCAGTGTAAGAAAATTAGGTTTGAATTGAAGATTGTAGGTTCTCTAGCAAAGTAATAACCCAAGGTACACACCCAAAAGCACAGAAGAATGGTTGAAAAGGAAGAAATTAACTGCTTTATACTGGCTAGCAATGAATTTTGATGAAAATCCCATTGAAAATCTATCTAAAGTCAGCTGAAATGTCATTTGAGAAAAGAATCCTGCAAACATTCAAGAGCTTGAACAAATTAAACAAAAGGAAGAGTGGGAATTTTGTAAAGAATCTTGAGATATATAGTAGGAGCACCATACCAGATAGGGCAGCAGTATTCAATGCACGGACAATGATAGATTTATAAACATGCAAGATGAATTCAAGAAAGAAAATTTGTCAGGAACAACACAGTGAATCCAGCAGCAGACCTAACAATTGATTCAATATAATCACTTCATGTCAGTGGAAAACATGAGACCAAGAAGGCACAATGAGTTGCTCTCCTAGAGGTTAGTATCAGCCATGCTAGTGTAAAGTAAAAATGATTCTCTAAGGTGACTAAACAATAGCAGTTTTGTTTTGGAGGAGCTAACATTTTCAAGCCCCAGTTAACAACAGATTGAAGATCATTTTCAAGATCATGTGACAGTTTTACTTTATCGAACATATCAGACCTAATATTAAGACAGGAGTAAATAGTTGTATCATCAGCATAGATACCGAGTTGGGAACTGATGGCATCGGGAAGGTTGTTGATGAAGATAAGAAACAAAGTACGTCCAAGGATAGAGCCCTGGAGGACACCTGCATTAATGCAAAAGGATATAAAAGAGTGGCTGTTCAACATGACTTTCATTACACAATTTGTTAAGAAAGATTGAATCAAATCAAAAATTTAGCAAGAGACAGCATAGGCCTTCAGCTTGTGAGGAAGACCGGCATGACAAACCCTTCATGAGATCTAAAGCCACAGCCTGAGCTTCACTGCCTTTTGTACTTTGCCAAAAAGTGATAAAAGACTAATAGGTTGATAATTCGAAGGATCAGATAGTTCATCTGAATTCTTCAAAATAGGAATTACAGAAATGGATTTCCAACAAGCTGGAAAGCAAGAAGCAGCAAGGCATTTGTTGTAGAGTTAGAGGAAACAAGAATATTTCTTTAAGACAATTGCAGGGATACCATCAAGTTTGTATGCCTTGTAAGGGTCATGATAGAGGAAACCATGGACAGAGTTATACGTATATCACACAGTAGAGACTTAGTTTTTTGCAGAAAATCAGGCAAAGATACTCCTGATGAGTTGAGAGTAGAACTGGAAGAGAACTTATGAGCACAGCATTGATAACAACACTTCAAACTAATTGAAGAGAGGAGGGATTGAGGATTTCCCCTTGTTTATCATACTAATCTGGATATAAATAATGATAACTCCTCATCCCAGAAATTCATACAGAAACAAATTATTTTGTTTCAATTATTTCAGTCATTTTGTTTTTATTTAGAGCTTATTCAATCTTTATTAAATTTGTTTTAATGCAAACTAAATTTCTCTTTTATAGATTTTGGAGATATTTATACATGGGGTTGGAATGAAAGTGGCCAACTTGGTTTACCCTGTCCAAATTTTCCAGATGCCTGCTCAGTGTCTGCAAATAATAAACCAAGCGATATAGAGAGAAGGGACTCTGTATTAATTCAAGCATTACCTCATTTGGTATTTCTTCCAGGGGAGGAGAAAGGTGCCATTGCCATAAAAGTAGCTTGTGGTGCTCGTCATACAGCTATCCTCTCAGGTAAGGTTTTAGATAGAAAAGCATTTTCTTGGTATTAAAGTTCTAAATGCAAAACATGTCACACAACAAATAATGAAAATAATCAATAATAAAAAACTTAGTAAAAAAGTTAACAAACAACATTATAAAATAGCCACAAAACTGCATCCAGATCTACAACTATTTCCTCTCAATAGCCCCTGGAATAATTTTAAACATAACCATTACTGCCCACCAATAACTGTTAGAATAATACAATACTTACCCATAATGCACCACTGACCAGCATATATAAATAGTTGAGGCAAAACTCAAACACTAACGATTACATTTAAGCATAAAACTGATTGTCACTGCTGGGCACTTTTTATATTTACATACTATCAAACCTAATTTTCTTATACTGGGTAGCAAATCTATCACTGATATTTAGCATACTGTAAAACTATATTTTATTATTAAATATATATTTTATCACTTTAAATGTTATTTTTAGTGGATACTCATATTTGAGTAGCTGCTCTGTTTATTTATTTTTGTCTACCTACCTAAATGTTTGTGAAATCCCATTAAAGAAAATTTGCACTCTCTACCAGGATTTGAACCTGCATCCCTCAGGACAGAGGAAGCTACATTAAAGCTGGTAGATGAAAATAAATAAATATACTGTTTAATAAATAAATGGAGCGTCTACTCAAATATGAGTATCCACTAAAAATAACGTTTAAATTGATAAAAATCTGTCAGATTAATAAAAAATACATTCTAATATATATATATGTGTGTGTGTGTGTGTGTGTGTGTGTGATAGGATGAAGAACAAATAATCAATTCAACATACTTCAATTCATTTTTATTAAAGTGTCATCAGAGAATGAGAAAAAAAGAAATTCTGGTATTTTTGTTTTGGTGTTTCAAAAGGATGTGTTGTCTCTCCTTGAGTTCAATACACCATCATTTATACTAATGCTGCTTAACAAGTCAAATGCACATGAAGCTTGCTAAACCAATGAAAATCAAATAACACAAAAATAAAAATACCAAAATTTCTTTCTTTCCCCATATCTCATTCTCTGATGAAGCTTTAATAAAAGTGAAACATGTTAGATTTATAAACATTTCTTATTTTTTCTTTGACATTCTTTTGGATTCTGATCCATATTTGATCTCCACTCATATATATAAGGAATCAATTGATTTTTTATCTGACATTATTTCCTAATACTCCAAATGTTATTTTGTGGATACCCATATTTGAGTAGACATCCTGATTTTTTTAAACATTGTGAATTATGTCTACCAGCTGCACATTTAAGAGACATAATTAATCAAATATGGGTTTCTCCTACAAAGGGAGAAAGCTGCAGAAAGAACCAATTGGAAAAGAGCAGTCCACAAAAAAACAACATCCTTCAAAAAACACCAGAAGATAAATAAAAGAGATAAAGAGCCCCCCCCCCCCAAGTCAGACCTCTCCATCTCCTGAATGCTGCTACCCTACTATGCAGTGACTGTAGAAATCTCTTCGGATCCAATATAGGACTTATTTCACACAGAAGGAAATTCCAATGAGCACCCCAATACTCAGCAACAAGTTCCGCCAACGATGACAACTTTGTTTATGCTTTGGATACAAAAAATGAACCAATGTGGGCTTTTAATAAGATCTGAATGAAAATAATTTTCTAAAGAAGTCATAGATTTTTTATTTATTAATCTGACAGAAGCTGGTAGACAAAAACAAAATAAATATAAATATACTGTTTAATAAATAGAGCATCTGCTCAAATATGAGTAAAAATAAACATTTAAAGTGATAAAAATCTGTCAGATGAATAAATAAAAACTCCATTACTTCTTTAGAAAATTACTTTGTTTATGTTTGGACAGGAAACTGAGCAGATATGATAATTTCAATGAATCTATGATGAGAGGGATTTCGCTTATAGGCACTGTTCAGACCTTGCTTGATTGGCAAAGCTTCTTTGTGGCCAAGTTGGCTAAGGTGTGTCAGATGGATGCCAAAGATTGCATATTTTTCTTTAATAAGATTTCTTGAATATTCAGGCCCACAAACAAAAAAATAAATATATATATTGTTTAATAAATAAATGGAGCTTATACTCAAATATGAGTATTCACTAAAAATAATGTTTAAAGCGAGATATATATGTATATATATATATATATGTATAATTCACATTTCCAAGGTTACAGATAAATCTACTTCAACTGAACCAGGGGTGTCTGGGTGTTCATTATGTCTGTATTATTGTATCCATTTTTTAGTTACGTTTTGGTAAGGGGTAGGGATGTAAATGAAATCTGACATCCGTTGAATGCATGTCGTCTGGATTTTTTTTTAAATTTATTGTTAACGGCAAAAAATTCTTACGGCATTTTTTTTCTATTTGTAAATTTAAAGATTTTTGGGGATGTTTAGGTTAGAATACGTTTTATTTAACTACAATTTGAAATATTTATTATACTATATTTTTTAAGAACAATTAAATGTATTAGAATCCCTTATAGTATATAGAACTATTTTTACATCAAGTATAAGTATGTATATTAAGTTACAAATTTTTTTTTTTTGTATTTAAATATTGTTCTATATATATATATATATCATGGCAAACTACTAGGCCAAAATCAAATTTCTTGCAGTAATACAACACATGAAGAAAAAGAAAAAATATAGCAAAATTTCCTGGAAGAATGCATCCAACTTCATTGTGTATTTCTTGTCTCGTTGAAAAAGGCCACGGTGTGTCCATAAATTCGTACAAGAGAGGAAAACTATACAAATTGAAATCAGTAATAATTTATAAAATAAACTGAAATTACTATTACATGTATAAAACATGTAAAAGATGTTATCCAAATGTACAGGAAATTTCTTTAAATATCAAGTTATCTAAAATTTCAAGATATATTACCAAATATTTCACACCTCTACTGGAATCACTTTACCAGGAATTTCCATTTCAATAATTTTTTCCTTTTTTGAGAAATGCATTTTGCCCCTTAAATTTCTCATTTTTTTAATAACAACTTCAATATAGTCATTATTTTTCATTAACTTAAAAATTATTTTTATGTAATCAATGCCTAAAAATTCTATCTGCTTTTTTAGGAGACCACCATCTGCTAACATGTGGTTGGAATGCCTATGGTCAGTTAGGACATGGAGACCTTGTCAGTCGAGACTGTTTGACATATGTTAAGCAAAGCTGTCTGTCATCCTGTGAAGATTGCATAAAGGTATTGGATGTATTCTGTGGTGGATGGAATACTGTTGTTCTTACAGACATTTCTGGATTCTCATAGAACAATTGTCTGGAACTTGCTTTATGAATAAAACTTTGAAAAACAGAGAATAAAAAAGAATGTAAAAGCAATAATTTCATTTTAAAAATACAAATTTCTGACTTATTTTTCTGAGTTTAGTTTTTATATTAAATTCTATGAACAACATTTTACAACTGTTTTATAAATTTAAATAAATTATTGATTGAGTCTTCAGTTGCAAGTAATTTATTTTGAATTTTTGCTTTGTGAAGTTAAAATTTCATTTTCATGATTTCACTTGAAAATTAAAAGTACCCAAATTAAAAAATTATAAATTATAGTTTTATATGGTGGAGTAATGGATAGCAGTTTGAATTGAGGAATCAAAGAGCCAAATTTGAATTCCATTCAAAATCCATTACATTCACTTATGTGCTAATATCCTTGGAAAAAGTATGAATCCTCTTCTTCTCCACCCAGCTATGGGTAAATAGCAGAACCATTCCGGGTTCTATAGCCTTGGATGGCAACTGGTCTACCACAGAAAGAAATGGCAACCTACTGCAGGAAGAGAATCTGCCTCATCAGTATTGTATTGAAAGATACATGATCGCCTAAGAGTGTATCATGCATGGCACATGACTGACTGAATTACTATTATACTTAACATGAATATCTTATAAGGCAAACATCCTAAAAAATCTCCCCAAATCACCCTGAGTCTTAAATCTTAATGTTAGTAGTTATTGGTTCTGGACAAAAACCCAAACATCCCTGTTTGACAAACTACACTAATCTTTAGATGACTCCAGAATAAAAAAAAAATTATTACAAATTCAAATAATTTTAAAATATGAAAAGTGATATCACATTATAAATGAATCATCAGATGAATATATTAGGTTGTTCAGAAAATAATGTCTGATTTTAGAATAAACTTTTTAATTGTGTTCTAATATAAAATATTATTATAATAGGTGCACAAAAACATACTACCCATTCTTAATGATTAATATGTCTTCTTTGCTAATTTTATATTAATCTCTTTCCAAATTTAACTTAAAACATTATATAGACCTCATCTTAAACATAAAAAAAAGAAATGTGTTTACTTTTTTTTGCATGAGTTCAAGCTTGGCCATAATGCTTCTCAAACTGCTGCCAACATTAACAGAGCATGGACTGAAGGATTCACTTGTGATCGAACATGGTGCTAGCTTCTGAAGTTTTACAATGGGGATATGAGTCTTGAAGTTCAAAATGGTAGAGGACATCCATCTGCAATTAATAATCAAAATTTGAAAAGACTATTTAAACAAAACCCATCTCAAATTGACAGAGAAATGTCTCTGACAATGGGTATCAGCATTTCAATAATATCAGACCATTTCAAGAAAATTGCCAAGGTGAAGAAACTCAATAAATGGGTTCCACATAAACTCAATGAAAGTCAGAGTTTGACATTTTTAAGTGTGTTCAATGCTGCATTGATCAAATAGTGACTTGTTATGAGAAATGGATCCTTTATAACAATCGTAAATGATCAGCTCTACCCAAACACTTTCCTAAACTGAAATTGCACCAACAGAAGATTATGGTAACTGTCTGGTGGTCTGCTATTTTGGTGTTATTCCTTACAGTTTTCTAGAATCTTATCAGAGTATTACTGCTGAAGTTTGCTACTAGCAACTGGATGAAAATACAACCAGCATTGGTTAATCAATGAGGTTCAATTCTGCTTCATGACAATGCTCGGCCACATGTTGCTATGATGACACTGCAGAAACTCATTGACTTGGAATATAAGACTTTGCCACATCCACCATATTTCCCTGATCTCTCACTCACTAACTACCATTTTTCAAACATTTTGACAATTCTTTTAGCCAAAAGACATTCTGTTTTAAAGAAGATACAGGAACTACAAAGATTTCTTGGCATCCAAACTTTTATAGTTTTATCATAAAGGCAGAAATAACCTTGTAATTCAATGGCAAAAATGTATATATGTTCAGGGTTCCTATTTTGACTGATTTAAACATTATTTATATACATTAATTCAGGAATAAAAGTTGATTCTAAAATTGGAATTTATTTTTAAAAAACCTAATAACTTGTTTTTTGTTAAATATAGTTTACCAAATTATAAGTGCATATTAATTCTACACTAGTACACATCATATAGCAGGAAATGCTATAAATTATTTTTCTAATTACTTTATGATGCAATGAATATTTATACACCTGGGTTCCTCCTCACAGTAATATGATTGGCTGGTGTCAGCCATAAATGCAGACTGATGTGGAAGTACAGGACGACACCTATTGTCTTCGCCTATTGCCTACCACTACAACGAGGACCAGTCCATTATGGTTACCTGCTAGATTGTCCTACTTGGTTGCAGTAGCGTACAACCACTTTGCTACTTTGAACAAATATATCCCTTTCTGGGACATATCACTTTAAAATGTTTTATGTAAAAAAATGCCTTACGGGATATCAATCTACCATTATCAAAAATCAAAGAGCTAATCATTAAAATAATGTTTCCCTCTTTATTAATTAAAAGAATTAATTTAAAAGACACATTCTTATGAAACATTTACAAATCTGTGTCATACTATGGACTTATTGATCCAACTTTGTATATTAATAATATAATTATTTCTAACAATAAAATTCTGATATACATTGGGTAGTTTTATGAAAACTACTTTCCCTGACACTGATGTCACCTCTTCTACCTCTTCTGTTTGTTTAAGTACCAGCATGTATAAAGAGATGGAAGTTGAGTGATATTAGTTTATTTGCCTTAGTTTAATAAGATTGGATAGAGCAAGTTGTCAGTGATAAATCACTATTTTTCTACATAGTCACTACCAATGGGCATTCATTTTCAAGGCATTTTATGAATTGTCAGCTGTGCATGGCCACCCAAAATGTGGCTTGTTAAACACATTGCCGTCACAACTACTGAAATGCTTTCTCTGCTGCCTAACTTACATTCATTGTTTGTTTCCATAATCATTCAAGAAGTGTCACTGCTCATATATTCAGTCAATAGTATTCTCAGCATCCTTCTGTAGAACCATATTTCTGTTGTCTCAAGTGTCTTCTTTATCTGTCCAACATTCAGTGTCACATTTTCTGTCTTCTGTTATAACACTTCCTAGATATTTCAGTTTTTGTACTTACTTGATTTTGGTATTTCCAATTTTTAATTTCCATATTGTGCTCTTCTTTTTGCTGACACCCATGATGTAATGCATGAATATACATCTTTGTATTTTGTTATGCTATTCATTTATATATATATATATATATATATATATATATATATATATATATATATACACCAGAAGGAATACTTGGCATTGCTCAGGGGAAAAATAACTTTAAAAATAAAGATATCAACACACAAAAAATATATTAACATATTCCTTCTCAAATAATAAATCTAAACGAATGCTTACTTACACCTTTAAAAGTAGCTGTTTAATTACACTTTATATTTGGACATTCAGTCCATGTTGACAATGACTTAGTGGATTAAAGCATTGATTTTTGAATTTGTTAACATAATGATTGTGAGTTCAATCCCTAGTTTGGGCAGTGTGTACTTGCACTCAGTGGAAATGGGCGGGCAATTACTGAGCTGTGCTAAATAAGAATAAGAACTAGACGATATGACTAGACATGAGCAGTGGAATGAGAAGTCTACTCACATAGATTAAATAAAGGGTTCAGTTCTGAATTCCCTGTAGATTAACCAGATTGATATACACTTGAGGAAGGCTAAAATGTTGTGATAACAACTATTGCAAACAATAGTCTGAATATAAATAGTGTAAATGATGATAACTTCTCATCCCAGAAAATTCAGAGAGAAAAAATGTAGCTATTACTAGAAAAAACATAATACACAAAACAAAAATGGTGTAGCCCTTTATATTGACAAGGCTTTTGGGTACACAATATCAGTGCTTCCTCCACTGAATGCCATGACAAAAAGGTTGTTTTGGGATCCAACTCTAGAAAAACAAACATTGAGTAGGCCAGAGAAAAAGCATCAAGAAGAAGGGTTGATGTTAGTGCTCTTGAGAGATTGTCCTTGTAGCTTGTTGATAGCTATGGCAAAGCTGAGCTTCATTGGGAATTAAAGCCCTTTGAATTATAAGGTAAGTCTGTTGGATTTATGGGAATGAACACATTCTCTCTTTTGCCTATGTCTGTTCAGGTAGTTCCTTTGATAACATAAGAGAAGCTGCTTGACAACGAGGTTAATTCCATTGCACAACTTTGACAGGGCTTGAGATTTCTATGAATGGATGTCCTAACATTTAACTGAAACTTGTTGAGAGGAATGCTATGCAGCTCTGAGATGATGAAAACAGTCAGATTTTGAAAGCCCTCTAAAATGTCCAGAACTGCACCTGTTGACTTGTACCCATGAACCTCTCAAGAATCTGTTGCAACAACAGGTTTTAAATTATTTCTTCAATTGCATCATTCTTTGGAGCAAGAATGGCTTGCTCATGGATACACTGATAGGCTTTTTATGATTAAAACTGCTAAAGAAAATCAAGTTTAATCTCATAAATTTTAGAATTCTTGTTTGAAAACTTCAGTATCCTAGTTTTAGCATCATCTTAATTAAAAGAAAAAGGTTCATTTAATTGTATTAACAGTTACTTTTTATATATATTTTCACAGGATTACAAAATGCTAGAGGGATAAAAGCAGATATATTAAAAATCAATTTATAAAAAAGAAACAATTCATAACAAAAACGTGGGGGAAACAAAAAAATATATATTACTGTAAAATGGTAATACTGAAATATAACAATGATTAAAAAATAGCTAAACTGGTTTATTAGTTTTCCCTCATCAGAGAAAAATCATGCACAAAATATGTGCACAGTGACTAAAAATTATACAACCCAGACAAATGTTTTATACAAAAATTATAACAACATTAAAGATTAATTATCTTTAAGCCCACTAACTACCACTTCTGCTTAGAGAGAGATGGTTGG